TTTTGATGTAAGTTTCAAAAAAATATTGCCAAAGTGCTCTATTGGATGGAAATTTTATGAGAAAAAAAAATATCATAACTCTAAACTTTTTAATTTAAATTTATTTATCTGCCTCACATCACAAAACTATATTGTCCCTTGCATTTACTTAGCAGGCAGAGAATAAGAGTCAAAAGATAGGCCATTCCAAAAATTTAATTTCAGCTCTCTCATTGGCATGCCTCACAGAAATTTCCTGATAGCTAAACCTCAGCTTTTCCATCAGAAAAAAGAGGGATAACGGTGCTTAACTGAATTACAAAGCCAGTGATATTATTGCTGTTGTTTGTCCTATTTTCTAAGTAGATGTAATCGTCTGTGTTACACAGAACTTTCTGAGAGGAATCTACCTATCTAAATAGAGATCTTAAAATCCTGAGGATTAATTAATTTATGTTTGCATAGTTCTTTGAAGCTGTGTAACACTATATAAATGTTAAATATTATCTACTCCTAACCATTGACTATGACTTTTGCTGAGTACTGCATATCTCAGTGCACCCTATCACTACACCCAAGTCCTCTAAAACTCAAAAAATTATTAGTTTTCCTGTTAATATTCTTTCTGTCCTCTTCTTTAACCTTCATAGTCTTTGCCTGGCCTGCTAAAAGAAAAAACTGCTAGGTAACTACTCATAAAACTATTTCAGCCATTTTAGACTTTAGTTATTTTTACTGCATAGAAAATCTCCATCTTTCTTCAAAGTTCAAAAAACCCAAACCAGCACAGAATGATCTGCATGCTGACTTGGTGGGGAAGGGACACAGTGTGTGGCAGGGAGCTCCTATGGGGAACAAACACTGATTCGTATGGGACAAAAATGTGCTCCTGCATATTTTAGGGAGAATAAACAGGGTGACATTGGATTCTTGGAAATGAGAAGGCCAATATTGTGATTTTTATATATGCACTCTGGCTAGGTGCCAACTCTCTCTCCTACATTTCCTCATCAAAAATAGCAGAAATAGCTACCTTTGATACATATTTATGTGTGTGTGTATATATATATATATGTATGTATGTATATATATACACACACAAAGTCAATTTATCTTATTGAAACTACATATTTTTGCAGGAAGTGCATAGCAAAATAAGACAGTTGATATCTTTAGCTTCTACTTCATTAGTGGCAATAATTGATTTCACAAACTCTGCAAAATATTTTTTAAAAATTGAAATTCCTAGTTGTACTAAGCATGGAGAATTGACAGAAAGGGCATTTATGATCCATTTATACATTACTATGAAGGCATCACATTTTTATTCTATTTTTAAGGATTAAGTGATTTACAATTCTCCGGTCACTGTCCTGCAGACTGTGGGACTATATTTTAGCTGTCCACCTCTAACTTTCTGAGCCCTCATGTCCAAACTCATGCCCTAACTACATCCTGATTCCTCTTGAAGTGAGATTTGGGAATGCTCCAGCCCTTTTCCTCTGATTCCTTTTCTGGAAGGAATTTTGGGCACACTGGGAACTTGAGGGCACATTTCAAACAGTGCCAATCTGGCTGATTAGGAGTAAGTGGTTTCTGTGAAGCAAAACCCATCGCTGGGTATGGATTTGGCCTTCCATGGTGTTACCTGCTTAAAAACAGAGTGAGAATATTTGTCAACTGCATGGAAGTGACAGAAGGAGCCAAATCATCACTTAGTAGCCTTGAAACATGGACTATCTGTAAATTATTCTGTTACACACAGAAAGCTCAGGCTGGGATTGAAAAATTTGTAGGCAAGATTTCCAAGGAAAGTAGAATCCAAGAGTCCTTTTTATTTCCAAGGAAAGATGGTGCACCCAAGTGCAGTTCCCTTTGCTGCAGCTTGAGCAATTGACAGAAAGTCTGCAGCTAATTGTGACATGAGTTTTTGACTCTGGTTTCTTCACAGGATTATGAAATTGTCCTCTAGCAATGCTGCTTGTCTAGATCTAAGAAACTAAGGCACAGCTTCTTTTTCTACTAATGCTTCTCCCCCTTGGGATCACCTTCTGACACATTGCAGAGACAGATTTCTTGGTTCATCATTTCCTTCCTCTGACAGGGAAAAAATGTCTGTTTAAAGCTTTACTCTGTATAAGTCTAAAATACCAGTGCTTCATACCCTGGCTGTACAGTGTGTTTCTAGCACATCCTTTCAGAAATATCCTAAAGTGTGGTTTAATCTCATGAAAACAGGTAATTTGGCCATGGGTGATACAGTGTGAAGGGTATCCTAAAATTTTGATTGCTCCCCTCTTTATTTATCTTGGTGGGGCAGATTAGAGGTTTCACAGATGGCAATCATTTCTCACATTAGTTGTCCAGCAAGGAAGGAATGAAATCTGCTCTATAAACTTGAAGGCCTCCTTATCTGTTGCTGTAACTCAACTTTCTTTTCCCTCTACAACATTAACAGGACCCTAGCAAAATTGCTGAAAGCCAGGTAAAAGAGGAAAGGCCTTCTTGTGTCCTGTAATAATTCTTAGGAAAATGCTTATCATATATATTGTGCAATTCCAATAATGTTCTCAGCACTAGGGCTTAGTTTAGCAACATAAAACTCTTGAAGGATGTAATTCAAGTAACTACTGAAAAACACAGACTCAGAAAGAAAGTAACCCCTTTCTAAATTATATTGCCCTTATTTAAAAGCAGGATTTTTCTTTTAATTAATTGTTGCTAAATTTAGTAATTTATTGAATACATAAAGGAATATTAATGAACAATAAATAGGAAAAAATATCAATGTCTTTTTCTATTAAACTGGAGGGAGAGTGTGACAAATCAATAAAAGGCAAGTACGTGTTTGTTCCTTCATTGATATTTGTCCTCACATAGCCATAATGAGATGAACTATCCAGTTATTTATCGAAATTAATGACAGATTTTATACAATTGCTATTTTTATCTTGGTTGTTTGTGGGTTTTTTCCCCCTGTATCTCCTATTAGTATACCTTTTTCACAATCATCTGCACCCACTTTTGCCCAATCTACTATCACTTTATACAAATCTTGCTAGTAAATCCTAGTGGTAATGTCAATAAACCAATGTAATAAAAAATATGCTCCATAAGTTTCTTCTCTATTTAAATCCCTTTGAGACTTCCTTAGTTATCTGTTTTTGCAGGCAAGCACCTTATCTACCTTTCATGTTTTCCTAATATCAGTTATTGTGGAAGTGAACACTTGCAAATTCCAGTTTTGGGCAACAATTTTAACACAGATTTTTTTCTGTCCTTCTGAAATTTTTTTGTTCATTTCTTTTTGAATCTGTATTGCACTGTTAAAAAAAGAAATCATTCTTTTCAGAAAGAACAGTACTGAGTTGATATATCTACATTCTTATAACATTCATAGCTTATAAAATACTGGCCTTGTGATTACTAACTCCTTGAATAACCACATTCAAGTCCAAGGCATTGGAAAGAAACATGAATCATCTATCTGACTACAGCATTTCAGTGAGTCAGTGAAAGCCTGACTGGTTTATGCCCTGAAGCCCATGGATTCAATAGATGTCTTTCATTTAAATGAGTTTTGGGTCAGATCTACTATGGATGCACAAACACTGAAAAATCAACAACATTCTTTAAGTGGAGTGAGTAGCCGGCTTAACATGATGAATATCATTTACTACATAACTAAATCTGTAAGGAATGCCTGAGTTCTGTTGCCTGTTTAAATAAAATCAACGATACTTGGAAAGAACTCAAGTGGACAGAAATCCTCCTCAAAGTGAGTATGTTAACAGGAAAACTGAAAACATCAGTGTCCTGTTTATCACTGAAGCAGAAATTACAGGGTTTGGGAAGGGATGTTTAACACTTTATCTCAAGAACATAAACCTTATTGAAAGACTTTTCTGCTTGGTCACAGATATTTTTTTATGAAAGATTCATGTGCATTTTGTTACCACATTCTGTTTTGTAGCATTAAAGAAAAGCGTGGGTGGGAGGTGCAAGGATGAAATGTTTCCAAAAATATCTCTTCGTTTACTTCACTTCCTGCTTTATCTGCAGGCCTTGACTGTTTTGGACTTTATTTTTTCCCAACAATTCCTTTCTCCTTGTTCCTTAGCAATGCCTCTGTCCTTGACTGCATTTCTGTCTTGGGATCTGTACTTTCTTATTTTTTTGTGGACTAAATGTCTGCTTTGTTCATATTACTTGAAGGTTTAGAATTTTTCTGGGTCAGCAAACCTGGAAGAAATGATAAAACTTTGTCTTTGGGGAAAGCTCCGAGTTCTTAGAGCTGACCCTACAATGAGAATATCAAAGTCAGTGACAGACCAAAGGACTAAAGAAGATATTGTGAAATTGACTTTCTTTGATGGTATAATATAAAAAAAAGAAAATAGATGTTGAACCAAGCACAAAACATTGCCAAAAACTTAGAAAAATCCAAAACTCAATTCTCTGGAACATTACTGAATTCAACTTTCTTATTACTTTATAGTTTTGTAAAACTTTGCAATGATTATTTTTCCTGCTAATTTTCAAGAATTAGGTGGTCTGGAATATTCCTCTGTGCTACCTAATGGGATTAGGCATGGCCCCATGGGAAATCAGTTGAATTTTGTGACTGCTGGTGTAGTTTTTTTACACTTAAAATTTTTAAATCTATTGGTAGCACTGAACGAAATCTGAGGATGAAAGGGAATCTAAAACTTTTTGAGTGTCCTAGAAAGACAGTGTTAGGGATGGCAGAATAGCCTGAAGAGCAATACCTCAAGATTTTTGGCAAATTTTCCTATGAAAAGCCTTCTCTGCAAGGTGAGAAAGATGGGATAAATGTGCCTGGGATAAAAGGGAAGACTAAAGAATAATCTGTCAGGAAGAGAAACCTGTTTTCCTAACAGAGTGTCCATCCTTACCCAATTCCTTTCAGGATCAGCAGGGCCCTCTCTCTCTCCTCAGGCAGCAGCAGTGAGGCTCCAGGTCAGCTTGCAGAGGCAGAAATAAAAGAGAACATTGGTCAGATAATTAAAGAAATTAACCTGGCTGCACAGAAATGAGACAATGGGGCTGCCTTTTCTGCAGGACTGGATTCCAGCTCACCAGACTGAATGACAACTTCAGATCCCAACATGACCCTTGGAAACCGCAGCTGGAAAAGCTGAAAAAGCAAAACACTTACCAGGAAAAGGGAAGGATCAAGAGAAAAGGTGTTCAGATCAAATCCTCACTGTTGCAGGAGCAAAGCCAACCAGGACTGACGTGATTTCCCCACCAGTGATGCTTGACTGGCTGGGAAAAGCAGCACCTCCAGCACCTGCTGTGAGAGAAAAGGAGCTTGCAAAGTCCTGCAGCCAGAACTGCCACCAAGGTCAGGTGTGTTGCTCATCAATTGTTGAGTTGTGTTGTTGAGGGAATAACAGATTGATGAATTGTAAATAAACATTGTAATTGCTAATGGGAAACAGCACAGCTCAGTGTTTCAACTCATGGTGTGAGAAGTGGGAAAACTTCTCCAGGTTGACTCCAGATTCTTCCACAAATTTCTTATATGCCCTGTTTTAATCTTCCTTGCGATCCAGGAAATGGGGACAGGTAATAGGTGCCACATGTGAGTAAAAATGTCCTTTAGGTATAATAACCTCTTCAGAAAATAGGACAGTGATAAGAGTCATGAACTGCATTTCATGAGATTTTTTGTAACATGGCAAAAGAAACATTCATACCCAAATTCTAAAGAGTGAACATCATGTGTTTTTCTGAAATAATAAAAAAAAAAGGCAGGGTTTTTTTTCAACCTCAGAATTTAAAATTTTCCCTCTAGTATATCTGGAATCATGCACAGAAACCTTTAGGGAATGAACATCCAATAATGGGTATAAAAAGACCCAAAAAGATTATCCTGAGTCATCTGTCTGTTTTTTCTTCTTTTAAAGCTGTGAAAGGGAGATATACTTAGGACTGTGTGCCTTTTACATCCCATCTATATTTTTCCAATTAAAGGGAAGCAAATCTGCTTTTAAGCTATCACAGGGAAAATAATTTCCCTCCACAAGATGGCTCCCACAGTGAGAAACTCCAGGCTCTGAAGATTTCTTTTATTAATTCTTCAGAAACTAATCTCAAATCATATGGTTTAATCTGTCTGCTTTTAGCTCCTGAGGATTGATCCTTATTAAATAAATAAAAAAGAGAGGGAGAAAGAAAGAAAAAGTTTAGTTTTCTTTTATGCTGCAATTATTCTGTGGTGCAGGATAGATAACTTTGTTATTGTGATTGCTCACAACATGGGGCAAATTTCTTGATGCCTGTTTTGATTATTTTTGCCAACAGTGTATTTTTTTCTAAAAATCTAATCCAAGTGGCCATTTCATGCCAAGGATGCCTAATAAGAGCTCCCCACTGAAATCAGTGAGGAACTATGACTGAAAATCAATGGTTACATATGATCAAAGTTGTTTTATTCTAGAATATTCTATGACAGTCTTTGGGGATATAATAGCACAAACCAATTCTGGTTATTAGCTTCACAGACACACCATTTTTATGATTTTTCAGTGACAGAGTTTCATGGAGCTTAGCAGATTAAAGGGAAAATAGAAATCTAAGAAAATATATAAAACCAAATCTTTAGAATGAAAGAGTTTTGTGACTGTAGGAGTGTTTACAACACCCTACCTGGAAAGTTAATACCCCTTGCTCCTGATGCTCCAAAACAGTAATGTACATACTCACATTAAAATATATCTAAAAGCTTGAAATTGTGAGAGAAGATTGAGCCAAAAAAGACAAAATAAGACGTGGTTTCGTCTTTTTGCGCTGTTGGTAAAGAGCACACATAAAGGAAACAGAAATTCACCTTGATTTAACTGAGCCCTGACATTCTGTTTCTGAGCCCTGAGCAGCACAAACAACCAAGTTTTGTGTACTTGTGCCAATTAGGTTTTTTTTGCATACCAGCAGTACCTGGGGCTTTCCATCTCTGCTAGATCTGTACACAGAAATTGCACTTGCAATTGTGTCAGCATCTGTCTCCAAAGGAGCTGACAGGCTGAGGATGAAATCCTTGCTTTGTTCACCTGCATCTCACCTAGGCTAAAAGTACATTGTAGTGCCCAATGCTGATGCAGTTATTTTGGTTTTAATGTCATGAGAGTGCTTTATTTTTCCTTCTTGTTCTTCATGAATGGAAACTGTGCAAAATAATTTTTTTCCTTTGAACTTATTGACAGTCACTACCCAGAATTCTGGAAAAGAAAGCCCCACATAAAATAAAAATTAAAATATTTCTTTTTTTGCTTTGGTTTTGAAAAAAAAGGAAGATGCAGGTATTTGTGCCTTTCAAGAGGCAGATTTTGAAAGTGATTGAAGGTCATTTATAAGTTCAGAAGGATTTATGATAAAATGTCTGCTGATGTTTCCTCTGACTCAAGTTACCTTCTATTTAACTGGCATATAAATGAGCTTTAATTAACCTGTTTGAAAATGATAGAGAAATAGAGAAAGACCCAGTGCCAATTTTATAACTAATGTTCCTGTTATGCATGCCTGCAGGAAAGCCTGTGGGAGAAAGGAAAAATCACTGGGCATTTTGCAATGTTCACCTTGCAAAGCTCTGTTCCCCCAAGCCTTATGGATTCAGAAATCTGTCATGCAAAAATGATGCAAATCTGTCGTTTACATAGGATGTATAACCATGGTGTTTGGTAGAGCTTGGGGAACTTCCAGCAAAACACAGTTTAATTGGAAAATGCCATTTCATTGAAACTACAATCTTTTGCTCCAGATTTCTACAGCTGAGCAAATATCCAGTGCTCTTAACAATGAATCTGACAAGGACATCAGTTTTACTGAAAACTGGGAGGCTTGGGAGGGTTTGTGAAAAATCATCAACCTTTTATGGTATTTTATTTTGCATTTTTATGTTTCTGTGAGTAGGAATTGTGCATTTTCTCAGTTTGGACGTTGGCAGAGGGATCATCTATCACCTGCCTAGCACGGGCCCACATTTGTAAGTACTGCATTTCCCACATATTAGGGGAAAGTCACAAAACCCCAAATAACTGGAGCGATATATAATTAATGTACAGGAGATGCCAGCAGTATCTGCTGCAGATTGAATTCATCAGTTAATTGAGACGTGTCTGTGTCTGTACAAACAGGTTCTGATGATGCCCTGAGAAGAGGGAGCTGTTGGAGAGATTTAAAGGTCCTTTTTCTGAGGTGATGGCCCTTTGAGATAAGTAACAAAGTGTGAGAGAGGAGAAGTGTTTCCTCTCAATTTGTGCTCAAGTATAATAAGTTGAAATACGTGGGAAGTATAAAACAATTTACTCTGTATTCTCCAGAGATCAATTAACTGGAAATCTTGAAAACTTTTATTAGAAAGAGCTATAACAAAGATATCCTCTCACACAACTCTTTCCTTTTCTTGTGAATCCTCTGTGCCAAAGATTTAACATGAGCATAATTCCTTCATGAATTTAATGATTTTTTTCATCACACAAAATGTCACCACATCATCCTTTGTTGTTATTGGCCCACTGTGTGCAGCTATATTTATATAGGTGAACACAGATATGCATGTATATTCCATTTATATATTTATATATTTACATACAAATGTTCTCTTTCCCCAGAATACCTCCCACAGTACATTTTTAATAGCTGGATTTATGTGGAGGGAAAAAGAATCACCACCGAATTAAAATACCTTCAATTTGACCTATAAGTCTCAGCTAGACCTACAAAAAGACTCTTAATTACCTGAAAATATTCTGCTTACTATGTGCTTAACCTTGTAAATGTTCTTGTGGAGTGCATGAAAGGATTTGAGAAATGTTAAGGTTAAAATTTTACAAAACTCTTATTATAGTTGGTTATTTCCATTTGAGAATAATTATACAAAATATGTCAAGCTTTGCAGACAAATAATTCAACTCCCAGAATTAAAAAACAAATTAGAAGATTCATCAATGGACCTGTACAAAATTATCCAATTATTCTGCTGTTTGTTGTAAGTTAGCACCTTTTTAGTCTAATATAATAAAAACATTTGTAGTTAACAGTTAAGATAATACTAACAATATACTGTTCCAATTTATCATTTTTTTTTATGTTTTTTTCTATATTTTTTTTAGGAATAAAGTTTCAAAAATGAAAAACAGTTTGAAAATTGTTTCAAAAAAACCCTGCCATTTTCTCCGTAGGCAGTTTTATTCTTTATTTCCAATTGTGATGTACAGCAGAAAAGCTAATAGAAGACAATTGCTGACAAAGCAAGGTCTAGGTAAATAAAGTTCAGAGTTGTAATAATTTGCCAAAGCTACCCCCTGTTGCATTCTTAACAAAGAAAAAAGATTGTATCTGAAGATAACTGGGGAAGAAGTTAAAAAACTTGTGAAATAGCTTTTGTTCCATTTTTTTATTTATTTACATATTAATTTATAGCAATCTAGGATATACACACATGCTTTCATGGGATAAAGGAACCTCGGGAAGTTTCTTGTCCAACTTTGTGCTTATGCCTGAGCAGCTTTGTGGTCAGTTTATGCAGCTCAGGGTTTGATTCTGGAGGTTTTGAAAACCTCCAGAAAAGCTGCCTGCAGCATCTCAGCGCAGTTGCTGCAACATTTGATTGTCCTTAGAGGGAGAAAGAAAAAAATTCTCCTTATATCTGGTTGAGGATAAAAAAAAATTTAAAATTTTTAAAATTTTTTTTTTTTTAATTTTTTAAAATTTTATATGGTTTTCAATGTTTAAGAACACATTTCTGTTTTTCACTGACTGATCACAAAAACAGCAAACATGCAAACTGACTCTGCAGCAGAACACTTCTTTTGCCTAGATAAATTTTTAATTGGTTGTTTGTGACTGTACCTGTGTATCCAGCATTCTGTGCTTCATGTCTTAATTTTTTGAGAAAGCACATCTAGAGATGGCCATGAAAATGTATTTTTGTTACTCCACATCAATAAAAACTGAAGTACAGAAGGAAGTAGATAACTCCAGAGGATACTTTTTCTTGGAGTACATCTTAAGACCTTAGAGTATTAGGAGTACAAAGATATTAATAATTATTTATTTATCCTGAGGAATGTATTGGAGCAATTAAAAGGTACTCCAGTGTTGTAACTCCTAATTAAGGACAGCAATCTGGGCAAGTTCAAGCAGTTTTTCTCTCAAAGAACTTGCTGTTAATAGGAAGGAAAACATTCAGAACGCTGTAGTTTTTGACTGTTATTGTCTGGTTTTGAAGATCTTGAATTTTTCATGAATTTGAAGAAATTTTACAGGGAAGCCAGGCAGAGACGATTGCTGATGAAATAGTTGCAAAGGAGCATTGGGAATGCTGAGCTGTGCTAGATTCTACAGAAGGATGGAACATACAAGCAATTTGGCATTAATCACAAATGTTCCATGTGGAAACTGAAAAACTTTCAGCCCATCTCAGGAAGCAAAGCCAGGGTTTAACATTTGGTGTGGGGAAGGGGACACCAGCAGCATCTCTCTTGTTTATTGCAGACAAAGGGCTCATATCACTTTGTACAAGACCAAATGCCAAGGGAAGTCTGTGAGAACAAGACACCCCTATAGCATTAAACCTAAGAACTTTTTCTCAGCCTCCAAAAATTTTTGACTCGGAGAATTTCTCAGCCAGTATCCTGATTGGATTTTTCTTCTTTTCATTTGTTCTAACACCCTGTGTTGAGTCCTTGGCATTCAAAACATCAAATGCCAAGGGACATTTCTTCACATATCATGTGAAAGACTGACATCTAGTTTGACTTTTAGTGGTCCATGAAAGGATCAGAGGTTTTTCATACTGTGGTTTTCCAAAGGCAACCTTTAGAATTGGGCCTTGGGTTTGAGAAAATCTCCTACCAAAAGCCAAATGGGATTGCTCTGCTTGAAGTAAACAACACTGCTTTTTTTTTTTTTTTGTTACATTTTAATGATGCTTTCTTAGCTTGGGGTGTAGAATGTATATTTATCTTGCTCAAAAGTGCCATGTAACTGATTACTAGGCTGTCATGTTTTTGGCTTTAAAGATCAATTTGCTCCACCATCATCTTAGAAATTGGCCAAAAGATTTTCAATAGGATTTGTATGTGACTTATTTCTATCTGTATCTGATCTTAACAAATTACAAATAAATCCTCTACTTGGAATATATTGTTGTAAAGAGGAGTTGAGATTACCCTGACGTGTTTTCTGTTCAGAAGTGTAAATCAAATCAGCTACTCAGCACTAGGAATTTCAGAAATTGACACACTGTCATCTCCAGGGAAATACATTTTATGGCAGGTTCTCTGACACATGTAAACGTTTTGGCTTAATGCCATTATCTAAATAAAGGCATCTTCTGCTGTATTATCTCCCCTGTGGTATCTAAGGAATCCAGAGGCGGCTGGCAAATATCCACATTGGGACTGTGGAGACTTTAGGAGAGGAAAATCTCGAGTCCAGAGACCACACCAAAGTCCTTAGGCTTAGGCAAGTAAGGATATTTAGCAGGAGATCACAATAAACCACATTTTTGAATAGCTGTCAATGACATTGCAATGACATTGGGACTCCTGTCCTAGGAGGCTGTGGAGGCAGACAGCAATGTCAAGTCAAAAAATTAATAATAGAAATTTGAAGGATTACCCTGAACAATGTTTTACATCTAGAAACTTTGATCCTCACATTTTTTAAGAGCCAGATTTCCCCTTCTTTTTTTTTTTCCCCTGTGCCACAGCTTTTCATCTGTGGGATCTCTGAGCTGTTCCATACGATCCTTCGTTTAAAAACAGATTACCTGCAGTCTTGAAGGAAAAAAAATATTTCTCCTGTTACTAAAGTTCCTCTCTATCCAGTGAGCTCACATAGGATGGGGACATATTATTGGCATTTAAGTGAAAAATCTGTTTAATAAAAGTAAATGCATTCCATGACACTCAGTGGCTAAGTTAGCCAAATGATTCCAATTAATTTACCCCTTAATTTGCAATGAAATTCTATAAATAATGAGCTATGCACATAGACAGAAGACATATTTCCCACTTTCATTCAATATGAAGAAGAAAAGTATTAAAAATATATGATGTTAACTTTATTGATGTTAACCTTAGCATGGTTAAACAATTTGTGCTGGCCAAACCACAGCTTTAAAAGAAAGGAATTGCTGAGAACCACTAGGCAGTGGCATAATTGACTTTTGGTGCCTTCAAAATACCGTGAACACCCCTAATAATTTTGGGCAGTTCCAAAGGCATTTATCATGATCAATGAGCAATATTAAATAAGTCTCCTTCAAAATGAATATAAATTCAAACTGCATTTCCATCTCAGCCTTCTGGTGACGTGTGGAAACCACTTGAGTTTCACTCTCATGGTTTATGACATCCCTGGAAGGCTTTGATGGAATTATAGCCTTATTAAGTACAGTTGGGGTACATTATTCCTTAAATAATTGCAACTACAAGTCATTATTCCCCCTAGAAAGTAGAACTTGCTGTACTTTCATCAACCATGTAATCTTGAAGTAAGTTGGGGGGAATTTCAACGTGGGAGGACATCTGCTTTTTAATTTCTGTCACTACTATACGTTCACAGCTTGGAAAAGTTGTTAGCATCCAATACTAACAGCCCTCAAACTTCTTTGTTTTGCTTTAAGGAACGCTATTCACAACAATTCATTTGAGTCATCACTGATGTTTACATCGATTTTATTTGAGCAAATAAATTTTTTTACCTTTTTTTAAAAATTATTTATATTTATATCCGTTTCAGAACTAGTGCATGCCAAGCAAGTTGAATTTCTGTCATGAGCAAATCTGACAAGGAGGAAGATGAGTGCATGTACTATTTTCTAGTTAAAAGGAGTGAACCCATCTGGGAAAAAATGCATGGTGTTTATAAGGCATGCTGCTAAGATGGGAATTTTTCCTCTCTATTGATACTTTCAGCCATCACAGCCTTATCAGCTTAGTTAGCTTTGTATATTTTCTTCTTTCAACAGTTTTCACACTGCTTAGGCTTTTAAATAGTGGAAAGTATTATTCAGTGCTGCATGCTGAAAAGAAAACATGTTCAAGAAAAGTTTTTAGTGTAGCACAGATATCATTAAGCCTGAAGGAGTTGAGGGCTTTTCTTCTCTCTCTCTCTTTTTTCTTATTTTTTTTTTTCTCTTCTTATTTTATATGCAACTGTGAGGACTATGTCAGGCAGGAAGATTTCTGCACCCTGTTCTCTCATAACTTTTCATGCCATAAAAAATATCGAGTTATAACAAAGAAAAAATAAAATTTGTC